AAAAATCACTGAGATATAAAGCAAACAAAATAAATAGAGAAAAACAATGCAACGAAGGACAATAACTGATCAATAAAATTTATAAACTGCTACAGAAAAAGGAGAGAAGACAGCCCAATATCAGAAATGAGAGAGACAACATCATAATAGAATCTACTTATACTTTGACAACTCATGAAGAAATATCTTGAAAAAATATATACTACCAAAATGAATGAAAGAAAAACAGATGAATAAGGATATGCTTATGAAAGAGATTGAATTTGAAGTTTAAAATCTTCCCACAAAACAAACTACAAACCCACCAAATGCCTCAGAAACTAACTTGTAAGTTAATTTCAATAGACACAGAAGAAGCATTTGTCAAAATCCAACACTGGTTCTTAATAAAACTTCTTAGCCAACTAGAAATAGATGTGTTCCTCCTCAAGTTGATTGAGGTCATCTATACAACCTATAGTTATTGTCATGCTTAATAGTAAAGACTATTAAGTTGCTTCTGAGCTATTTATAGACTATTTATAGTCTTTATACAAAGACTATTTATCTAAATACAAAGATATCCAAATCCACTACTTTTATTTCACATTGAATTATTCTGTTAGTCTGGGTAGACTAGAGAAACAGATCCGTGGACACACATATGTGTATAAGAAAGAGATTTATATACAAGAACAATTGAACATTGAGAAAACATCCCAGCCGATCCTGATCAAGTTCATAAATTTGATATTAGCCCATATGTCCCATACCAATCTATAAGGTCCCCTTCAGACTCATGAAACACATGCAATGATGCCAAATGCAAGACGATCACAAGCCAATGGATGGAAAGTCTTTCGGTCCAGTGGCATTGTAAGCATCTCAGTGCTGGCAGGGGTCTCTCTGTGGCATCTTTGGCTTCTGAGGTCTGGCTACATCCATGTGACTTGTCTTCTGCAATGTTTCCCAGGGAGTAGCAGAGAGAGGTGTCTTCTGCCTCCAAGGAAGAAATGCCAGGTTTCCCAGCATTCTCAGGAGCAGGCCATACCCACACAGAAGTCCCATTGGCTATCTCCAGATTGACAGCCTATACTCCACCCCTACACTCTTAATCCTTAAATTGACACCAGATTAGGTGATTACCACAACTCTAAAGATTAGCCAGTGTCACTCCATGATGCTCACCTTCCCAACACGATCGCTGAAGACAAAGTGGGTGCATAAGCAAATGTGAAGAAATCTGATGGTGTGTGGCTATTAAAAGATATAGCATCTGAGGTCTTAAAGGCTTGAAGGTAAACAAGCGGCCATCTAGCTCAGAAGCAACAAACCCCACATCGAAGAAGCAGACCAGCCTTTGTGATCATGAGGTGTCGAAGGGATCAGG